CTTGCGGAGAAAGCTGTAATTTTATTTTCTCCGATGCCCTCGTTTGCCCCGCCCTGACTGCACCGCTTTCTGTCTTGAAGGGTTGGTCGGCCCGAGGCGGGTAGCGTCCGTATGGAGCTGGAGCATTTCCAGGCTGAAGAACGGTTGGCACGAAGGTTTCCCAGAAAGGGAGACGGACGGACGGTTTTGCTCCCTGAACCTTCGCCTCTGCGCATCCCTGGGTACCTCTGAGCATCCCTGGGTACCGAGTCCCATCCCCCGAATTGCCATGGAGAGTAACAGCCGGATTTAGAGTCTTTAATACTCCATCTTGTTTTGTTAACACAGTTTACCAGGCCACTTGTGTAAGAAGCCCAAAGTGAGATAGATGTTTGAATTTGATGCTGATCTTTACCATTATTGTCACCATATGGAAAGAGGCAAAATCAGGACAGGGGATTCCCAGTGAGGGACGTTGGTGGCAAAAGAAAAATGTGTGCCGTTTTGGTAGAAAGCAAAGTTTTCTGATAGTGGGCGGTGAAGAGCCTGCCAAGATGTCCCCACCCTCACTTGCGGGAGCTAATCCCAGGGCCTGTTCCGTCAACTGGCTATCCCTTCCTGGTCCCAGGATCCCAGAGCAGCTGGGCTCTCAGTCTCTCCTTTGCGTTCGGTTTTCAGGTGTACTCTGATGGGCCTGTTGTCCTAGCCATAGGTGAATTATTAATATCAACTGTATGAAGCAAACCTACCCAAGAGTTAGATGACTCCCAACATCTTGGATTAACCCATTGTTCCTACTTTTTTTTTTTGGGGGGGGGGTCTTTTTCAAGACAGGGTTTCTCTGTGTAGTTTTGGTGCCTCTCCTGGATCTCGCTCTGTAGACCAGGCTGGCCTCGAACTCACAGAGATCCGCGTGGCTCTGCCTCCCGAGTGCTGGGTTTAAAGGCGTGCGCCACTGCCGCCCGGCTGTTCCTACTTATTAAGGCACATCTGCCCTTTGTGAGTTCTTCTATTGCTCTGAAGGCACATGCTGTAGTCTGAATTTCTTAGATGAAAGTTTAAGTTATCATCCAAAGTAATAGGTTTCGTTGCTCAACATTTCTGTGTCTTTCCCCCAGATCCATATATTGAAATCCCAATCCTCAAAGTGACAGCCTTATGAGGTGACTAGGTGGAGCCCTCCCAAATAAGATCAGTATCCTTATATAAGGAGAGGGCAAGAGACCAGACCCATACTCCCCCCATCACGAGGCTGCAAAGGGAAGAGCCTCTATAAGCTGCATCTATAAGCCCAAAAAGCGAGTCCTAGCCAGACTCTGAATCTACTGGTACCTTGATCGGTGGCTTTCCCATCTTTCAAGCCACAAGTAACACATTTCTGTTGTTTATAAGTCACTCAGTGTGTGTGCTTATTTTTACAGCACCCTGAACTAACGGTAAGGTGGTAGGTACCTCTGTGTCTCACTTCCTACATTGACTGTAGTTTCATTTTGTCACATGTCTTTAGAAATACTGGAAAAGAGTGTATCCCAGGGGTAAAAGATGCAGCAGCCTGCTCCTGCTCCCAGGAGCCTTACTGTATTGCTAGAGAGAGCCCTAGAGGCCTAAGAAGATGGAAAAAAAGAATTAACTGGGCATCCAAGAAGTCTTTATTTATTTATTTCTACTTGGTTGTTTTTCCAGAGCCTGTGCCCTCCAGAACAGGGTTGGTGTGACAGTGCTGGGCGGGTACCCAGAGGGCTGTGCAATTGCTCCCTTCCCATGGCTCTGAGCTCATGGCAGCATCAAGTACTCCAGAGCCTACTGTGGGTGGCACAGACCTTTCAGGGTACTCAGGAAAGTGGAAGTGCAAGCCCCATCACCCCAAGGCTAACATGGAGTGCCTAGGGAAAGGTTAGGTGGAGCATTAAGAATGTTAACCTCAGGCATAGCATTGCACTCTTTTTTGTTTGTTTGAGTTTTTTTGTTTGCTTTTTAGATAGGCTCTCATGTAGCCAAGGCTACTCTGGAACTCTGAATTCTCCTGCCTCCCCGCTTTCCAAGTGGGGATCACAGGCTTGTGCCGTGTCCAGCAGCACTACATGTCCTTCAGAGAGATGCCATGAAGCAAAAGGGTGGTCACTCACCACGACACACAGAGGTTGTCACAGAGGACCCATGCCAGCCACAGCACATCCAGGAGCTGAGGACCAGACAGCGGGCATAGTGTCCCATCTTCGTCCCCACAGGCAGCCCAAACTGGATCAAGGACGACCCAGAGTTGGTCTGGCTTTCTAGGGTATATAGTTCAACCCTGAGATAGGTTGTGGGGTCCCAGCCTGTTTCTGGAACCAGTTAAGCTATCCAGGTGGGCTCTGCAAATAAACACAGGCCCAGGAAGGCATGGCAGGGAGGTTTTCTGGACGCAGACACAGCCCTTCATTTCTTCTTCTCGTTTCTGTCTTTGGTACTTCACATGAGTACCTAGGGCGTGCTCTAAAGTCACAGAAGCAAAGCAGAGAGTTCTGGGCTTCCCTGGAGAGTGGCTGAGGAGCAGATGGCAGGAAGTCGGAGAGGCAGCAGCAGCCCTCCTGATCTCTGAATGGTTCCTATACATTACCTCTCCCAGAGAGCTCAAGGTGGCTTTTTTTTTTTTTTTTTTTTTTTTTTTTTTTTTTTTTTTTTTTTTTTT